AAACTGTGGGCGACTGCTAAAATGTTACTCGTGGACCAGTCAAGGCCTGTGTAGTTGGGGCCTTATTCTAAACATGGCGAGTGCTCATGTGAGTACAAAACCTCAATAGTAGCTAACAGTTTTTAAAAAAAACTCAGTGTTGAGAATAAAAAAAGCTTAAGGCAGGAATAAAGTTAAAAGTAATAAAAAGTCTGGAAGAAACATTTAGCTTGAAGTCTGGCAAAGAAATTTGAAACTTAAATGTCATCAATAAACAGTTAAAACACCAAAACTCTTAACAGGTTAGGTAAAATCATGATAAAACCATCTAAGTAACAAAAAGTCATTAAGAAAGAATAGAAACATTAAGCTAAAAGTCAGGATTAAACCATTTAAAGGAGCGAAAAGTGTAACCAGCTGAAACAAACATAATGAATAAATGGGGGAAATAGTTGGCCTACACTTTTAGATTAAGCCTTTGATGCTAACACTGATGCAAGCTTAAAACCAACACCTGAAAATTCAAAGCTATGTTGTAAAAATCCATGTTTTATATAATCAGTAACCTCTAGTAGGGAGTATTTTTGGAACATTGCAGATATTAAAGGGGTTAAATGGAGGTGGTGCTGCAAAATAGGAAACCACTGTCATGAAAATGAATGACTCACGGTCAAACTCTGGCATTGGCGTCTTTGCTTTTTGATTGGTGGTAAAGATTTAAAGTTGAAACCAAGCTTTAAAAAATGAGCGAGACTGTTTGGAAGCCAAAATATGGAAAACCCTAAACAGAGAAGGGAAACTGAGCGATTGCACAGCCCCCCTTTGGGCCCACAGTCCCTGAAATACACTCGTATTTATTGCTAGTTTTTGCTGTTTTGTTAATGCTGTGTTGTTTGACAGAATCTTGGAGTTGGCTCAACACAAAACCTCAAAAACAGTCTGGGCCACGACTCCTTAGTGAGTAGCTGACTCACACGAGCATCTTCCCCTTGATTAAAAACGAATTCTTTCTGCACACAGACTTTTTGTAACGCCACAATGGCCGCTATTCATCACACGTCTGTTTTTAAAGCCCTAAACATTTTGAGCATACTTAGTTCTCTTCCAGCTGTTACATCATTTGAAAATTGACTTAAAACTGACTCCCAAGAATTCAGGAGCCTATGTGGTCAGCGTTTCCTTCTTTTGAGTGCAATTTCTCCAAAGTGCATAATTAAAGACAGATGTCTGGCACCCACCGAATGTGTGTTTAAAAGAGAAAAACAATAGAGAAATGAGAAGAATTTATGGTTGGTTGATTGAATGGATCGTTTTTTTTCTTTGGGAAAATATTTATTCTGCCTCTGCACAAAGATGCTTATCATCACAGCTCCTTTTTGGAAACCTTTCCATTGATCAGTGAGAAGCTGAGCTGGGGCAACCAGGAGCCTGTATGGCCCATCTCCGCTTCAGCGCTCGGAGCCGCTCCAAGTGCAAGAATCCAATACCTATCCAGGCACAAAAGAGATTTCTCAGCAAGGGAGGACCACCGGAGGTAACTGTAGCCCGGCTGTTCCTCCAACATTATTGATGACTCTATCAAAAAGACATGAGAGGGAGGGCTGTTTGTGATCAGAGCAGTGTACACAAGCTTTTTATGTTGTGATGCATCAACATATTTGTGTGGAAATCTTCGCAGAGCTCTTTAGCACAGAGTAAAGTGATGTTCGGGACTGATGCCAGGTGATCACCCTCGAGAGCTGCCAGGCTCGATTAGTGCTAGCTACAGGTCCACAGCTCTTCTGTTTGTTGTTTCTCCTGCATCAGCTGTCGGATGAAAGAAGCAACAACGTTCAGTGTAACTCAATCAGAAACCCACGCGCAGGAAGTGCAGCTCACTGAACCGCAGTAATAATTCACTGTAACGGAAGATGACACTGATCACCTGCTGGTTTGGTGCAGACCATCAGCTATAGAGGAGCTTGATTCACGATGCTCACTGCATACATACTGATCCTTTTTTTCCTGCCTCTGATTTGCTGTAAGCTACATCAGTTAAATGTATTTACAGGGCTATTGTATCTGATAATGAGCCTCAATGCCTAATTTAATGAGAGTGCAGGCAAGATGTCTAGTCTGCTTTGTTCATTTCTAATCTGATTATTTGGCTCTGTGGTCAAGGTTTCTTTATCAATAGTGTCACGTTAATTATTTTACTTGGCAGCTGGAACGTTTGAATTTTTCAGGCCAATTAGGTGTGCAGCTAATTATTATTATTTATTATTATTATAATCACTATTTGACTTGATGATCCCTAAATCCAGACAGATGATGTTAGTGTTAATATAAAACAAAGAAAATCAACAAATCCAAATATTTGAGCTTTTTTGGCATCTGTAAAGAAAAACAGCCTAAAAGGATAGGTAATCACTGAAAATCTTTTCAGATGTAAAAAAGAAAATTAATATGTTAACATGTGAAATCATTAATCAAAGGTACGTTCTGTAATTACCCTTTAGTTAAAACCTTCACCACAAGGGGGCAGTGTCGAAATGTGCAGCTTCTTTTTGCTCGCCCTCAGTTTTTTGCCTTTTCCGGGTCACCATTTAAGTTAAGATACCTTTCTGAAAAAAAGACTACATTACTTAAATACACCATCTTGTGGTATAAATTGGTATTGCACAAAAATACAGTCCAGCCCCATTTCAACTTCAGCAAACGTCTCTCCAGCATAATACATAATACATAGACACTATGGACATGAAGTCATAGCAGTTGGTTCTTCACATTATAGTGACAACTATAACTATTTTAAGCTCAGGAATTTACAATAGTTACCTTTAACAATTAAATATTTTCTGATTTCTGCTTTTTAATAGAAAATTGCTCAAATTTGAACTGTTGTGTGGATAAATTGTTTGTGGTGGCAATTTTGTACTTTTTACTCAGCTTTTTTAGTTTAGAGGAGTGGATCGTTAGATCAAGAAAACAGCATTAACAACAAAAGAGTAAGATTTTGTATTTTTTATTGCTAGTGTCAACAAATGTCATGAAAAGTCCAAAACCACTTTGTTAATCTTTCTAATATATGTGCCATTCGTCTTTTTTATTGATATAAAAAGTTTGATCAGATTTTTTCCTCGTTATTTGAATCAGGAAGGATTCTGCATCGGTGACACACCGTCAAGGAGCAAAACAATGCGAAGCGAGCATTTAACCTCGAGTGTCACTCCGCAGTCTCGACTGTGTAATGAAATTTAAATGTTTTTCCGGCTGCATTTTCCACTCATTCCCCCGTCATCAGCTGAACACTGACACTTAACCATTGTTCTGAATTGCCCCTTCATCATCATCCCCTCCTCCTACTTTCTTCTTTCTGGCTCAAGACAATGTTTTGTTCCAGACACACAACACAGCACATAATGGGCGCGGTAATGGCTTCCATTTTCCTGCAGGAAGGAGGAGGAGGCGACGGCGAGCCTCTTCAGGAAGACCCAGCGACCTTCCTCCAAGACGTCCCAGTACGAAAACACCCTGCGTTTGTCGACACCCAGAACCAGGACTCGAAGCTCCCAGGATGCAGGGTAAAAGCCTCAGTGCATGCTAAACTTAATCCATGTGTGTTCATGTTACATGCAAACACATTATCTTTGCAGCTGAAGAGTCCTGCACAATAAGCATCTTCTAAACTTCTCTATTCCAATGTGAACCATTTCCAAATGATCTGTCTGAAACAGCTGTTACATGTAACCTACATGTCAATCAGTGACACTCAAGGGATACTATTTCCTCTGACGTCTAGGCATAAGAAGCACCAAACACGTGCTTGGTTTAAATGTTTTTATGCGATACAAGATGGGATGAAAACTTTTTTTGTTTCTGGTCATAAAAAATGAAAACACAAAACCTTCCCCTTCACGGTTGTCTCCTTGGAGGCTGTCGCCAGATCGTCCTGTTTCAGGAATACCAGGTCCATCACAGGTGACGCCTCGCACCCCACCCACCACCAGTTTCACCTGTTTGACCCTTTGCCCTTTGGTCAGTGCCTCAGGGCAGTCAGGTCCCACACCTCCAGACTCACAGCACCTTCTTCCCCTGAGCCATTTAGACTGTTAACAAACACTATCTCCCCACAAACCACCACTGCCCACCCACCTCACCAATCTGAGCCACGGTCTGAGTAATTCTCATCACTCATGTCACTCACATACAGACTCCATTCAGACCAAGTCTTTTCATTGCACTACCTCCAAGCACTTTGCTCTCCAATGTGTGCCTTTCCATTGTTTTGTATATATTCCTCCAGTTTATATGTATTCCTCTAGACTGGATATATCTCTTCTGTTTGCTATTTTTTTCCTGATGTTTTTACTATTTATAATTTTTTTTTACTCCTGCACAGTTGGCGTGGAGCACCCATAATTTCATTTTACATGTAGAATGGCAATAAAGGGCTATTCTATTCTACTCTATTCTATTCTATTCTTGATCTCCCCTCAAGTGCTTCAAACGGTTTGAAGGTGTTTGAAGGTCCCTGGTGTTTTTGCATCATCTGCAACATCAAATTGGCACAGAGGGCAAACATCAACCACTGTATCAAACACAATGAGCGACCATGATCAACTTTCCCAGTCTTGGTTTAAGTCCCAGACTATAAGGAAAAATGCCACAAAGATCACCACTGATAATGTTTTTAGTCTAGGACTAGGCTTAATCCTAGTCTGGGAAACAAACACCATAATCTTTCTTTTCAGAGATTAACAGAGAGCTAGATGTCCGATTGCAACTCCCAGGTATTTAACCTCCAGTGAGGTAGACATCTTTGCACATGACGACCCTCAGGACCACCTCAAAGGTGATAACCCCACCACAGGTTAAATACCAAGACATGAAACATTTTAAAAAACCTTTTCTCCCCAAATCGTTTAGGCTATAACATCCTGATGAGTCTGAGAGAAGACATTCAATGGCCGTAACTGTGCACAGCACTGTTAAAATATCTTTCCTTGGTCGCCACTGGAAGCTGTCCAGAGGTGCTCAAGAAGAGGGCCTCAAAGGGGCAGCAGACAAGCTGAAAGATTTTCTTTTCGCGGAGGGAGTCTTTCTTTGCCTATTATATGAGCCATGCTGCTGTTTTAGAGATTAACATGATCAGTAATACAATTTATCATATATCACACAATTAAGGACCTACCGTCTACCAGTTTTCCAGATGTGAGGTGTCTTAACATGGAGCTTACTTACCGTAGATTAGTCCTGCATTGATGCAAATAAAATCACGAGTCTTTTATTTTGTTGCAATACTTTGGCAACTCTGAGCTTTTTAAGACTAAACAATAAATCAATTGTGTAGTAAGAAGTTAATTAATAAATGCATTTTGATTAAGTAAAAGCTTATGTGACTCAGTTTGGTGGATTTGAAATTTTACATGGTACATTTATATATTTCCCCCATTTGCCATTATGTCAAACTGCTCGTTACTGCTTCAGCATTGAGAAGCACATAAGCAGCAGCCAGACAAACTCTATGAGCCGTCTGTTTTAAACGATATTCCCACGGCCCCCCATCACATGTCGAACTCCAAAGCCTTTATTCTCCCTGCGGGAGCTCACATGCAAACCAAAGTCTCAAGTTTAATTCCAGCAGAATGTAACATATCATAAAGTTAAATCTGAGAAGGCCGAGCAGAGGATCAGGCCCAACACCGTGCAGCGTGAGGAAGCCAGCGTTCGGACATCTGTTATTTCAGTGACAGACTGTGGGAGAGCGAGGAGACGAGACAATAGAGCTTATTGTCCAAAGCTCAGCACCTCTGGGACCCTCGTAGACCGCCGCGGAAGTCTTTTTATAAATCCCGAGCCCAGCGGCAGCAGCTGAACATGTAGTTGGATGGAGTGAGATGCATCCCAGGTTTTGTTTGTTTTGTTTTTTGTTTTGTTTTGTTTTTTCAAATCAGTACAAGTTGATGTCTGCATTTTTTAGGCTACAAACATCACAGTGATTGCTGTTTTAATGTCCTGTATAGGAAGTAATAATTGCCAGACTCTCATCTTGTTGCTTGAAGAGATACAGACGGATAAATGAGTGAGACAAAACAAAGCAGATAAAAATCAAACCCAAAAAGGAGATCGTGAAGAAAAAAAGCGCAGAGTAAGCCAAAATGATTTGGGAGTATTTCTGTATCTGATCCTGTAGTGAAGATAAGCTGAACTACTGAGGCAATAATTACACATAAATGGAAGCACACAAAGACTGAATAATAACAAGCAAACTGGACACACGATCAGGCAATAAACTACCCAAAAAAGCTTAAATGTTGTAAATATTCTCTTCTTTTTTTGACATTTTTCCTTTATTAGGCTGTGACAGAGTTTTGTTGTACTTACATGACACACAGCTTAGTCACTTTCCCAGTAAGGCTTACTCATTTAACTTTGTCTGTTTGTTTTCTAGCTTTTGGCCTTATTCGTGCCTTCTATGGGACTGAAAGTTTCACCATAGTGTTTAGAATACTTATCAGCTTATCTTTAACATGTATTTGCATATTTTTTGAAGCTGCGTGGCAGAGAGCTGCTGGTACTGACAAGAATGATAAAGATTTTGAGGATTGTTTGAGGAACACGATTGTGCGAGGCCTAATGTAAGAAGAATGTGAGAATTACGAAGCCCTGCATTATCAGGGGTTTATTTCTCGCGGTATAAGATGCCGTCTGCTTGTCCCACAGGCCTCCTCACACGCCTCAGTGTGAAAAAAACTGTCCTGTGTGGCACACCGATCCCAGGGTGAAAAGTGCCGTGATCACACCTCGACTGCTGCAGCTTTCCAAACCCAAACTCGCACATCCGGACTTCCAGAGGAGCAGGGAGGTAAGAGGAGCAGAGCAGATCATTTCAGAAACAAATCCGTGCAAACATCCATGCTCTTTTTTTAGTTTGATGCCTCGTGGCTTCTTGTGTAATCACAGTGAGGCTTAATCACACACTGTTTTGAGAAATATGCGTTCAATATTTTATTGGCATAGAGTCAGCGTGAAAATTGTTGTTTTTTTTGGTGGTGAAAGAATTTGTTTAATGGGGTTTACACTGCATTGAATTAGCTGTAATTGAAAAAAAAAAAAAATAAAAGCCACATATTTGTAGCTTAGAAGATAAAATCTTTTTAGGTTCGGGTAATTAGGAACTTTTCTTCCACGTAATCGTCAGCAGCCACTTTGATCTGATCTGTTTTAAACCTCGGGCTCTTAAATCTTTTGCACCTAAATGTGAAGTGCTCGAGCAGATTTATAAACAAATCAGCCTTCCTCTGTCTCTGCAGGGATGTGTTGCGAAAGTAGAAACTAATACCTTCTGTTCGTCTGCAGAGCGTCGCTTCCATCGTCTCGCTCTCATCCAGAAAAGCTCGCATCTCGCAGAGACTCGTCCAGCTGTCGCTGCCCAGACTGAAGGAGAGCAACATCTGCTGCACACTTGGACATCCAGAGGAATCCATCTGGACTGTAAGTGCTCTCACTAACGCAGCATCACCCCATGTCACTAAATACTGTACTACTTTTAGTCTAGCATACAGACTCCAAGAACAAGAAGTGTGTTCTTATTTGATCATTTCTTCATCCTCTTGGAGGCCGCTTGAAGGAGCCGGTGTTGCTTGTGGCCTTATTTTACACCTTTGCAACCTCTGAAAGTTCCTTGGACCCCAGCACATACTCTGTTACAGGAAGTATAACACCAACATTAGTCTAACCCCAAGTTTATGATGCCAAATAAATACCATCAGGAGGCTCAAAGACCAGTAATGTGCGGCTTTTAAGGAACACTAGGAAAGTCTTTCAGCAAAGCATAAATTAAAACTGTTTGTTAGGGTTGTGTATTCAACATCACACTGTCAATGCAAATATTTTCCAGCTGTGTGAACCAGTTGTTTTACATCATAAAAACCTTGTTTTAATGAGCTGTGACACTTTCCAATAATTATAATCAGGCAAATGAATATTTAATGTCATTCTGCCGATGGAGAAATTCTGGGACTTGTTGTTTTGCAGGATGCCTTTTATGTTTTGATGAAGGTCATAAAAATGCAGCATAATTACCAGCTTTTACCACTAGAGTTTAAATTTTTATTGCTCACTTATTTTTTTTCCCTAGTGGCTGTGATTAATGGAATTTAATGTCTGAATCTCAATAATAAGGTTTCAAGAGCAGCGAGGAGAGCCACAGCGAGCGCTCGCATTGACATGCTGGCAGAACCAAAGCAGCTTTCCGAGGACTACATCCCACCACGAGACCCAGAGTGGAGCCGGAAAAACGTCCAGTCCATCTGAGTGCGCGTCACCATCGAGTCGGTGTTTCACCAGACTGAACTCTTTGTGTTTTCCACCCCAGACTAAAGCAGAAACATTTAAAGGTCGAAATTCAGATCCTGTATTCGTGTTTCTGTGCTTTATTTACATTCACAGCATCTTTAATGGTAATTACGACAGTTATTTCGAGCGAATTATCACAGCTTGTGAACAGAAAAAGTAGTACCAAGAATGGACCCCCGACTTACTGTGAAATTAAGAGAGATCCAACAGGGAAACACTGGAGTGTCTGTCTCTGTGTAGCTCTGTCATCATCATCATCAGCATGTCTATGAAATCTTAAATGAGTTAGCGTTGGATTGGATATGGCTGACATGATATATTGCTGGTTTAAATCTCTGATGCCTTGGCAGATTGAGGGAGCAATGTTAAGAATAAAAACATGTCTGTGGCTCTCTCTGTCTACAGTCTGCAGCTTTTGTCTGAGCCTTGGCACGATACTGCGATCCACGTGGTTTTTCCTTTGCAGCCGAGCAGGATTCTGCATTTTATTACAACCATGTGTGTATGAATCCATAAACACTGTCAGAGTCATGTCACAAATCTCTGAGTATTTTTCCAGGGTAAAGTAGAAGCTATTCAGAAGCTGCTCCTATGTCAAAGGTCATGACGTTGACATAGGATGCCGGGACATCATCGTGAAAATCCTGCTGTTATCTTATTTACACCACTGGCTGCTGTGACTAAGCGCTTTGTAAAAATTGCTCATCAATTATTCTAGAGTGAACCTACAACCCACTGTGAGGCTAATCAGGGATTAGCTGGCTGCAATCACGACATCCAACCGTGAGGTGTAAAGAAGGCAGAGGAGGTGGCGAGGATGGAGGCAAAGCAAATAATAAAAAGTAGAAATCCTGTTAGCTGAGAAAACATTCTCAGAGGTGGGAATTTGACTGAGATGCAAGAGGAGTCAAAAAATCGTTTAGTTTCTCCATTCATGCTTTGCATTTAACATTAAACAGTTCCCCCTTAATTTACCTTAAACATTTATTCATGAGAGTAAAGCAAAAAATAAGAATTTCCACCTCTGCAACTGTTTACATTGTTGTTTAGATCCACATCTGTCCTGATATGACCTTTGACATTTCAGATACAAAAAGGACTTGCTTTATTATTTTGTCATATTAGACACCCAAAGACAGTCTTCGGGATCGTGCTGAAAAATGAAGCTGTAGTCAATCGGATGCTTTCCAGACAATATTGCACGGTGGATTAGACTACGCTGATAATTTTCCGCATTTACAATTCAATCACTTTTGACATGAATCCCAACACCACAGGCTGAAATGCAGCCCAAACCACAATAGAGCCACCACCATGTTTTACAGATGGCTGTAGAGACTCACTGTTGTATCTCTCCTCCTGACCTCCTCCGTGCAAGGAAATGCTGATGATGATTTAAATCAAAAACTTTTAATCTGGACTCCATGAGTCCTGATTTCATTCCAGCTCTTGTGTAATTTGGCAAAAACCTTTTCTCCCTGTTTCCCTCCCATAAGGATGTCTTCTTTCAGGCTTTAACCCTCACCCTGAAACTATTTCTGCTGAGGCTTCAGTGAACAGTAGATGAATCAACTGAAGGATCCCAGGACTGACCTGAAAATGGCTGGAAAAAAACAGCAAAAGCCAGAGAAAAAAACTTTCTGAAAAAGTAGCAGCGAAAGCTTCAGTAAAAAGACAGCAACTGGCTGAGGCGGGTACACTTTGCTCTCCTGAGTTGAACTATCATGTGAGTTGTACCGTGATTCCAGGTTAACGATAGTATGCTCAAAGTAGCAAGTGTAAATATGCAAATATGCAAATATTGAGACTAAACAAGAAATATTGATAGCACGTCAGGTCCTGAAGGGTGTGAGCATTTTACTCTTTACGTATAAACTGAGCCGTTTTAAATAAAATGATGAATCCATTTATTTTATGTCCACGCCCACGTTTGTTTTGCCGTCAGGACTTTGTTTCACTTCACTTTTATCTCTCACATGTGTGTTTTGCCAGCAGCCTGACACAGGATGTTTTGCTGCTGTATGGCGAGTCCACACCTTCTGCTAAATACAGGAAGCAGTTAAAGTGAGATGTTCTCAGGGTGATGATGCAGTCACTCGTGGCACAATGTTCATGTTATAAAACCTTCCTGCTTTAGACCCGAGTTTAAAACTAATATTTACCAGTCCGGTTATGAAGATCCTTCAGAATTACCACAGATAAATCATAGTATTTAAGAATTCATTAATCTCTTTCATTCCTGTTTGCATGGCATTGCTCTGCAAACAAATGTGTCAGGGTGGAGTTACAGGGACTTTCTACAAACAAAATCCCTTTGGTAAATATTTCCCAGAGCAGTGAGAACCTGGCAACCACAGCAGCAGCTCTGCCTGCTGCTTCTGTGGTTTTGAACTAATAAATCTGCTGGACTTCAGTCTGCAAACTCTGTTAATTATCCAGCATTTATATGCATATAAGTTGAGGTAAAAGCAGAACTTCCATATGAGTTCACTTTGGGTTATTTCTTTTGAGTAAATGTTCCAGAACCGGACAAAACAGATAAGTGAAAAATGGTCAGGAGGAGGAAAGGATGACAGAGTGTAAATCCCAAGTGCCTGAAAGTGTGTCATAAGTCCAAGGATGTTCAAATTTTAGTTTGGAAAGCGGGTTAGAGGTCTGTCTGCGGGCCTACAAGTGTCTAAACAGGATTGTGTACTTCCTTAAATACCCAGAGCAGATCAGAGGTGGTTTGCTGTTAGTGTAGATGTCTTTTTGCAATCATGTAACATTGGTCAACACTGCAAAATGCATTTTAAATATCTGTACTCAGTGTTGTTGTTTTTTAGTTTTATAGCCATTTAAAAGGACAAATCTTCACAAATATAAGTGCTGATCTCTCTGTGATGTGTTGACTTTTAATATGTGGGTGAGATTTCTGAGTAAGGGAGTGGTGCTGGACTTATTAGAAAATGAGGAGTGTTCTTTCAGAAAGAACTTTGCTATTAATAGCACATAAACAATGACATGCATTAAGTCTGACACCCTGCTGAAGGTCTTTAAAGCATCACTGTGTGCGCTTGAGACTAAGTATCCCATGCGTCTGTGTGCACAGGATCACCAAGCTGACTCTTAATTTTAATGATTATCTTCAGTTAAAGGTTTTTATACAAGATGTCGATTCTTGGATTGATGACAGATTATGGTTACCTGTGTTTTTCCTTCTGTTTGGCCTTTGAATAACATCAAGTGATGTTCAGTTTTGTTAGTTTTTATAATGCAAATGATCCAAAAATGAATTTTCAGTTATCTGTAAAGTTTGAAATCAGTTCAGTCTAAAACTAACTGCTGTTAAACTAATAAAACGTCAAGTTGGGCCTTTAAGATACAGAAAACAACTCAACCAGAAAGATTAAAACACACAGGAAGTCTCAGTCAGAGTTCAGGAAGCTAAAAGAGATTATCTATTTTGTTTTTCTGTCCTGGTGGTTAAAATGATCAGAACAGTTGCACTTTTACTGGACCAAAGAAAAGTGAGTTGCAAACTGAGCAGTGCAGATTCCTCGCAGCTCTGCAGAGTCCTCTTAGCAACACACAAAACCAGACTCCATTCAAATTCTGCTCACACGCTCATCGGGGAGGCAGATCATCCTTTCGCTGGAGTGACTCGAGGACAGGCGCGAACATTTCCTCTGCCAAACATGATGAGAGCAAGAACATCAGCCTCACTTCCACAGCTCCATGACCTTTGACCCTTTACAACATCAGCCGAAGTCTTCATGTTTATTTCTGCAAGTGTTTGGCCCAGACCAGCAAACCTGAGCACTCGGTCCTCAAACACTTAAATTACTTTACCTGTGTGAGACTTCATGAAGTGTTCGAACACGTGTTTGGTGTTACAGCACCAAAACATATTTCTTATTATTGCGAGTATTTTAATGCCAAGAAACTTATGGGCAGTGTTGGGAAGGTTACTTTTCAAATGTATTCCACTACAGATTAAAAAAATACATGCCCCAAAATGTATTCTGTAACGTATTCCGTTACGTTACTCAATGAGAGTAACGTATTCTGAATACTTTGGATTACTTAATATATTATCATG